GCCAAAAATGCTCTTCCCCAGAAAACTATGCGATTCGCCCTACTCATTAGGAACCATCTCCCGAAGCACTACTTTACTTTATACATTCTACTGTCATTCTTGCTCATTTCAACCCACAAAAGACGCTGCAGTGTCGTTAATACGATTCATTTTCTGGCATCCGCCGGATGCAGTCGTTGCTCTTCCGCTTGATGAGTTAATACTTTTGGCCCCCCTTGTATTTTATTACCATTATAGATTGTTTGCCGGCGTGGTCCAGCGGATACTCCTTCTCTCCATCGGTGGAGCCATATTCCTCGGTTTCTATGACATAACAAACCGCTTCTGGTCTCGGAAGTTGAGATAGATTCGCTTGTTTATCTGGACTGTAGATTTACCTCACATGTTGTATTTGTACACTTTCTGCATAAACCTCCTCCGATCTCCTCCGTCTTCTGCCTTTAGGAGAACTTTAATTCATCCTGCTGTCAGTCCACGGGCACATTTTATAGGTTGTGAAGATGTCGAGAGCAACATCAATTCCGGAGACACTACCCATACTTGTTTGGGTTGCAGCAGATCTGGGGTGGAGCCAGCAAGTAACTGATACTCCAAAATCTCATCCAGGATTGGATCTTGATGAAGGTAGGAGTTAAGGGAAACGAAAATGACACACAAAACGTCCATTACAAACCATAGATAACTGTCAGGAAGGCGGAGTGGGGAAATTGCAGTTCTCGTGGAGGTCTTCACAGCTGGGTTGCATGAATCAATTTCTAACGAGACGTGATGGCGAACGAAACCAAATGCCGAGAATGATGCGTGAGCGGACACGGTAGATTTGGATATGAACTCCTGGAGGCACATTTATGAGGACATTCCATTTGTGTATAACGATACCAATACTTCCAAGTGATACGGCTTTAAATTAGCTTCCTTCCCCTGAACTACGGAGTTGTTAGAAAAGCATGAAGAAAGGAGTCAATCCAACCAGTATTGAGATGGGAGTCCTGTTTTTCGGAAAACTACTGATATCCTAGATAACGACCTAATATTTATTAGTATGTTATTCCAAAGATAAATAATTTGAAGTAAAAGAGGGAGCTTAGCGAAGGAGTAGGCGGGGGACAAAGTAACTATGGAGGGTCCTAGGGTAAGGTGATACCATACTAACAGCACAGGTACTGGCCAAATACCCATACACGCGTGTTTCGCCGATATTCTGCCGCCGCATGGCGCAGCTGCGAGGGGTTCGGCTCGTCAGTGGGTCCTCCAGCATTCCCCGTGTGCCTTTTGGTAAATACACCTATTTGGAAATTTATATTTTTTAATTTCCTAAGAAATTATCTACGAAGTTGGAGTAGATCAGTTTATTCTAGGTCTATAAGCCCATACTGAGAATTTTATACTTGAATATTTGGGCCAAAGTCCATCAGCCACAGCGGGTAACCGCGTAATATTCATTAGCTGCGGACAGGAAGCTAGTAATATACTCTAGGGTAAGGTATAAAATTCTCGGTCTGAGCCTATAGACCTTGAATAATCTGATCTACTCCAACTCCGTAGATAATTTCTGAGGAAATTAAAAAGCGACAATATGGAAGATTTGCTAATAATGTAAGTACGGCCTACACGGGTGTGGAGTACAGTTCGAGGAAAAGGCAGACCGCTTTTGATGTCATGCTCCGACTGGTGGATGAGGAGAAAGTGAATTCCGGAAACGTCATTTTCCGCCAACCGGAGTAGTGAGAAGTCAAGCTCGCCAAATCCCACCTCATTCATTAAACCGTACGGCTCTAGAAGACTGGACTAACCTTTTCGTTGACGGACTGCTTCGGAAGCGAAAACTCCTCCTAGAAAAATTGCAAATATTTGGCCGGTTATTGACACTTCGACCGTCGCGAACGACGATGTCCACCGTCTACCCCTCAGCCAGGCATGTGGAGGGACGGCGACTTGCGTGAGGATTAATTTATAGTGATGATAGTCGTGCTGCATCTGCCGCACTATCTCCCCCTTTCCACCTGAGCTCGGTGTCAAGATAGATCCAAGAAGAGCGTAGGCCGACTCGGGTGCGGTGACTGGCAATGCAGAATAGCTCGTCTGCGCGTGCCACAGACACCTGGTCCACACACGAAGGTCAGGGTTTAACAGAAGTGCGAAGATGGTCCCGATCTCAGCTAAGTTTGAGTACCACGGGAGAGTCAGGTTAGTCACAGACAGGTATACTCACGAGTCGGCACCATTTCAAACATGATGAGATTGAGCAGTGTGGTCAGGGACCACGAACTCCCCCACTACGGGAGATTAATTCGGTGGATTCAGTTCCTGAATTGTGGAAGTCTGTCCGATGACCTAATGTATCCGATGGAATGGAAACAGACCGAGCTTACTACTATATATTTGAAGTGTTAAAGTCTCCATCAATAAGCACGTCCTTGTTCGTGTAGGTCTTGTTCAGCTCCGTTAGGAGAAGGCCATCAGGTTCGGCAACCTGGTTCGGGGGAGGGTGTTCAACTGAAAATTCCAGTGACCGGACGTGCTTAGTTAAGATAGCTGAAAAGGAGAATTTCACTTCCGCCGCCCCGGAGTGTTGCTCAGAAATCGCGGTTAAACTGCAGCCAACATAGTCTACGACCCTTCCTCCTCAGGTTTTCCTGTCTCTGTTAAGCATCTGATACCTTTGAAGGATACTTCATGTTCTCAAATAGTTTCAGAAAGCCATACCTCTCTCAAAACGATGACATTTAGTGCATGCTCGTCAACCGCTGTTCTGAGTTCATTTATTTTGTCGAACAGGCTATGCACATTTGAGTACACCATCTTTAGTGATCGCCTTCTCGGTGAGAACTAGCTCTTATTACAAGAGGCGTTGACCACTGAAACAGTCGTTTGACCTTAATATCTTTCCTTTTTCTTATTTCTAGCCATTCCCCCCTCTTTTGTCTTTCTCTTTAGTTCTGTCCAGAACTTCCTTATTTTCTGTTTTTCGATCGGTTCCTAATCAGGGTGAAAACACCTTATATGAATTCGGAAAAGCTCTTTGTCCTTCTAGGTGATGTGGAGCCTGAAGTTCATTTTCAAGAATGGTCTTAAGAGGCCTTTGTGATGACGGCCCGCGCGCTTCATCTGCGTTTCCCAGACGGAGATCTGTGTGCACAGTAACACATTCTCCATCCTGAACGATGGCATTCAAATATGGTCGAAGGAATTCGGGATAGTATTTGACCATTCCTATTACAATGGAATAAGTGGACTCAGGGACCTGCTTTAAGACGATGTCTCGTTTTCTTCTAAGATGTCTGTTTAGTGATTTGGTGGTCTGCCTTTTTATGGTGCTTCGACACTACACTACAAGTATATCCTGGCTGGCTATTTCATTTGCGTCAGCGATAAAGTCGCTCCCTAAATTTAATGGAGAACCCTTTTGTTGCCTTCGTCGGCATGTCTTTTAGTGGCTCTTTTATCATCGGCATGGAGAAAAAGAGGGAGATACGCTTTGTTTTGGAGATGTCATTTCAAAATTTTTGGCAAAAAACCTCAACTCGCAAGCAACAAAGGGAGTACACAAAACAGATAACATCTGAAGCTCACAAGCGATAACTACTGAAAACAGCAACTATCGACATCAGGAGGAATTGTGGATGCTAGCGTAGTGTTCAGATGACCGGATTGCTGTATTTCGAATAAACAGAGGAACAAAATCAGTATACAATGAGTAACATAGGCCAAAGGATGCACATAAAGACAATCCCATGTGAATGAAGAACAGAAAAGATAGCGGCGTCATTTCAAAAACCTGCATACTGAGGTGAAGAAGAAGCCTTAAAGTGAATACGACCTCATTCTGTGTGGTCTTCTTGGCCTCTTTCGGCATCTTTCTCTCCGGCTTTCGGATTCGGCACGATGTAGCATTTTGGTTATGTACGCAGAATGATGCTGACGCTGGTTGGACTGGTATAAATGACGGAGTGCATGAGCTATTTCGATCTTTCCTTGAAAGAAGGAAGGCTCCAATGTTGTACTAAGCACTTCGGACGAGATTTCATCAATGTCAACATTATATGTGCCTGAGAAATTATGTTTTTTTGGAATCTCTGTTACGATTGGCGTTAGTTTGTCGACTAAACAGCAGACGGACTTTTTCGGACGTGTCTTTTCCTTCTTCAAGTTAACAATTTTTTGTCAAATTCTACCACTTTCTGAAGGAGACCTAAACACGCCGTACAAGACTTGACTGCCTAGCAGGGGGTGAACTAATGCCGAAACATCTTCCTTTGTATTCATTTTGGTAATCATTGATGTTGCCAGACTGTAGTGTGGGGACACTTGCGCTCGTACCTCAACTTTTGTGAGCGGGCTCGAGCTTGGCTCGTGACAAAGATTTTGAGTGATTCCCAAATATAGAGAGATTTTCTATTTATGTATAATTTTTGTTGCCGCCGTCAGTGTGACCATGGCCGAGTGATCTTTGCCTGGAGGTCACAGGTTTAAAACTGATTGATGATGCCATTATTTGGTCTCGCGCAGACGGCTTGTGGCCGTCTATGATTTCCATACTCTTTCCGCCAGTGAAAGCAAGTTCAAAAGCTGGGTTGTTTCTTGGCTTAGAGATTATTTTTCCTTCCACACACAGTTTGTCCAGTCGGGAAAGAGCAAATCTTCTATTCTTCCAAATAACTGTGGAGTTCTATAAGGTTCCACCTTATCCCCTCATCTTTTCTCTCTGCATACTGATGATTTGAGATCGCCAAACGACTGCCTGTATGTAAGATATGCGGATGACATGCTCGTTGGCCACCCACTCAAAAACCTGACTCACCTACAGTCTTTAAAGGATGGCTTAGATCATGTCTTCGCATGGTCGTCGAATAATGAACTCCTACTCAAAAATCAGGAATCAGTACAGTGTGTGTTTCGATTGCGACCCTCTCCCATTCCTGAACCTTTGGATATTCTTCCCAATGAGGTATCCTCTTTCCGGTACCTAGGTGTTACTTCGTCGTCAAATCTCTCCTTCTCTCTTCATATGGAAACCCTTTTAACAAAAATTCAAAAACTGGTTTATTACATTCGCCGTCTACGTTCATATCACACACCCCAGTCCTTAATCTGGCGATTCATTGAGGGCTGTATTCTTCCACTCATTCTTTATTGTTCTCCAGTTATTTTTCCGGCTTTGCTTAAAAAAGATCTAAGTATTTTTACACGTGTCATTCGAATGCTCGCCTCTGCTGCTGGTGTTTCCTATCATATTTTAGTTGATATCATCGTGCAGCGACACTTCAATACGGTGGAGCAATTTGCTGACCGAATTCCGAATGACACCGTCCATCCCCTTCATAATGAGTTAATGGCTGCGAAATCCTTACGCCCCATGCGTCGATACTTCCGCCACATCCCTTGTCGCACTTCGGTTTATCAGAATTCCATACTGCCATTTCTTGCCCGCTATCTCACCTGCAAAGATGCTGAAAAACAAAAGCTAAAACTCGATTTTGCATCTTAAAGTCCTTTTTTCATATATAATTATGTCCACCTGTCCAATACCTGGTAATCTCTATGGTAATCATTGTGTACTGGTGAACCGTTTTTGCTGAAAGTTTTGAATGTTATTTTCAAAATAAAGCATTCCTCTCTCTCTAAGAAACACACCACCGACTTGAATTTTGGGAGCAAGTAGACGTTGATGCTTGCATTGCTCACAGAGAAACCATTGAGGGAGTAGTGGAATCCGCAGCACAGGAACATTTTTACAACCATAAAATCATCATGTCCGCGTAAATATCGCCGAAACTCGGAGAAAACACAATCCTCTCACAAATTGTTTTAAAACGACGTGTCCCACACACGAACTCGAATGACCTGAAGTTTGAAATCAATTTCATGCGACGCGCCTGTCTCAGGTCCCCACTCGCTTGCGCATAACTCCGATGGTAGAGATTTAGGTTAGTCAGACGGATCGGATATGACAGTACTTCTTGTCCTGCGATAAAATTGATGGCCAATCTCTGAAGCCTTTCGAGTATATCGTGGTCCTGCTGTGTACTTCCTTGACTCTGCTTGTTGGAGTGACCTTCCGTTCAAGTAGCAGGTGCGCGAACCAGAGACCTGGTTTTGACTGCAGAGACACAGCTGATATACCTAGAACCATTCAGTGTAATCCAGCGTATAAAAGAAGAACAAGCAGTACCTTGAATAACTCCATTTTTGAATATGCGAATGAAAAACATGCACGTATATGCATAATTATTATATCGGTCAATGTTATCGATTAAACGTACGGTCCTATCGCCGCACCTTGTGCCGTGCGTGAGACCCTATCTCCCACGACTTTCAGGTTCGGTCTCGATGGATAGAGTAGGTAGACACCAGTTGGGGGGATTGTTTAATCTGCACAAAATAGATAGAGGAGGGGTTTGAGAAAGTTAGCAGTCGGACAAAGGCACGTCCGGCGCCGGGAGAGCGGCGTCCCAAGTGTCCGTCAGTGAAAGAATCAAAGCGTCTTAAGACAGGCCAAGTCTGACTCGTCCTTGAATGAGATTGGTCGGTTGGAAAGCTGAGTGAGCGAATGCCAGACAGTTCTGGCGCGCACATGCAGACACTCCCGAAAGGCCTAGCGTTGAGACAGGCACTCGGAGTACGGCCACCACAGTCCTTAAGTTTACATTTGTCGAGCCTTCCTTTGAAAGTATCCACGTTTTCCGCCAGGACAAACGACTTCGACAGTTTATTCTTCCCCTCAACTACCCGACGGGGAAGAATTCGACCACACTTTAAGGGGGGCATATTTTGTTGTTTGTGCCAGTTCAGAAAATCCACCCACTGAAGAACACTCTCCAGTCTTCTGACTATTCTAAAGGCCATGTTCATGTCCATTTCGTATTGTCTATGAGAAGAAGTATCATGAATCTTTTCAGCAATCTTTCACAAGGCACAAAATTTACCATCCCGGCAAATTCGATTGCTCTTCAATGTGCGTTTTCAAAAAGGGTGCGGTCTTGTTTCTCCTAAGGGCGCCACGCATGAAAATAACATTCTTACACTGGTCGGACAAATATTCCAAACACTCACCTGACAAGCTCTTCGTCAAAATTGAGGAAAGATCTCTTGATCGCGCCTAAGGCATCCATGATTTTCTTTGATACACTGGCGTAAACAGACGATGACTTGTGAGTTGATGTCACTCACACACCGGGGGTTCTTAGTCGGTTGAGTTTGTGACCTTCTATGAAGTAGTGAAATTCAAACCTTATCGTCCTTCTTTTACTAGATCGCAATCGAGTGACTTGGCATTTGTTGGAAATGTGGTTAAGGAAACACACTATAACAAGTATATTGCGAGCGTTTCAGAGATTTCACTATTGTAGCGCACGTCTCGGATAATTAAAATTGATTTTCACAACTTCACACTGCCCTATCGCAGTTCAGGTTGCCTAGGCAGTATTTCACGTTGGCTAAATCATAATAATATCTTAAACGTTCTCCTGGGGAATGTCATTGTGGGCGGTTGTCCACGTTACTTTAGCGCTGCCAAAACAAACACGCGGAGGTCTTCCAGCGAGAACCTTGTTTAAATATTTCAGTAGATTCCAATTTATGCCAACTTTGCGTGACTTAAATATCAGTAATCCGTGCGGGTCGCTCTCAATATAGACTGCATCTGCCGATAAACACACTTCAATAGATGTAATTCAGCTTTCTATTTATATGAGCAATTTGGCTATACAGGATCTACCCCCTCCAAATTCATGCTGGTGCACACTAATCAAGTTATTTTTGTCAAGATACCTCATTTGCTCCGTTTTTATTATCTTCTGCCTCCGTTTATAGCATATGCTTGTGAGACTCGCTAGTCTTAAGCCATTTCGGGGGTTCTCTCGCCCCCTTTATGTATGGGACTAATGTTGGTGTGTTTCCAGTCAGTAGGCAGAGCCTCAACCCTCATTCAAGCTTTCGAAATCATGGAGAGCAGAGAGGCCAGTTGGTCTGTGAGTACATTGACAGATTTTGCAAATATGCCACCGCGACAAGGCGAGCTACTGGACTTCAGCTGTCTCAATGCTTTTTTACCGGGTCTGTTGTCAAGTTCATAATGATAATTGCATTGTTAGATGTGGAAGTTAGGTGGGAGACAGTACACTCTTTCATCAAAAGCCGATTCCTTGGTATACATGGACGTAAAGTAATCGAAAAAGAGGTCCGCATTATTGCAGTTATTAGACGACGCGTTTTCCTGGCAATCCTATAAACAATGAATGCAGTTTCGGTTGCGGTTTGCCCTTTTCGCATTGTCAAAGAACTTTCTAGGATTTTCTGGTGTTTGTTTAAATACTTTAATACAAATGCTGCTCGTTCCCTCCTCATCAGTTTTTGCAGATGCCCACTGTTTGATTCATAAAATCGGCGACTTAACTTCCGACGAATCCGCCTTCTGTGGAATTCCAATCCACTGGCCGCACTCAAAGCCTGTCGTTAGCAAGAATTGGATTTAAACCGGAAATATCCTTAACTTCACAAATTTACAACGGGATTTCAACAGAAGGAACAAACCCCCTTCTGACCGCTTCTGTGTCAACAGCTCGACGGACATAAAATTTCCAATTAACTAAGTCGTCCCGCTATTTATTTCCTACAGTTGATCCGAGTAAAATACTTCGTTCCATACCGCTGGATGCGTTGCATATTCTTTCAGTTGATTATGGCCGTCGACATAGCGCCTTCGGGCTAAAGTGCAAAGCTGGCTTCGGAAGTCGGAGTTGAGCCCTTGCACTGCCGTGGAGTGACCAACGATACTGCCACTAGACCGTCCACACACCGTTCACAGGACTGAGATGAATGAGGGAGTAAACATTAGTTGTAGTAGAGATGACTGAAACGCTGTATATTTCGCTATCAAAGCACCTCCCACCAAGTGAGCAAGGAACTGAATAAGCTGAATGAATGCCAAATGCGAATGCGAAACCTGTACATGTTTTGGCGCATATTACCCCGCTACACAAAGGAGGTAACAGGGCAGCGACGACAAATTACCGGCCCATAAGCTTGACATGCATTCTCTGCAAAGTTATTGAAAGGACCATAAAGTGTGAACTGATGCAATTCCTGGAAGTTCACGGCCTGCTATCGAAAAGCCAACATGGGTTCCGAAAAGGAAGATCCTGCACGACAAACCTGCTGCAATCTCTCCAGAGCTGGACCCAAGCTCTCGGCGACAGGCACGCGGTCCACATAGCCTTCATCGATTTCCAGAAGGCTTTCGACACTGTGCCACACCAAAGGCTCTTACATAAGCTGAAAAAAATAGGGATCGGTGGCAACTTCCTTAAATGGATCGAAAACTTCCTTGTGGGTCGACGGCAGGTTGTGTGCTTCGGTCGGGGAAAATCAGATCCGGCTATGGTCGATAGTGGTGTCCCCCAGGGTTCAGAACTGGGACCCATTTTGTTCCTTATCTACGTGGACGATGCCGCAAGAGATTTAGACTGTGAAGTAGCAATGTTTGCGGATGACATGAAGAGATGGAGTGTAATTCGGGGTCCTGCCGACGAAGACAGACTGCAGATGAACCTGAATCAGTTAGAGGAGTGGTTAAACCGTCGGTTCCTGCGGTTCAACGTTGCCAAATGTAGCATAATTCGCCTAGGCAACACAGCCAGATCCGCCAGCACAAGAGGCTACTTTCTGGGCGGTGCAGCCCTACAAGAGGGCGAAGCCCAAAGGGACCTCGGTGTGCTAACGACGAGTTCCCTAAAACCATCCGCCCACTGTTCGAGGGTGGCAAAAACCGCAATGTCAGTACTGTAGGCCATCAAGCGTGCGTTTATGGATTTTGACGAAGAAGCTTTCTCTAAGACATTCGGAACATTTGTCCGACCGCATTTAGAGTACGGCATACAAGCTTGGAGGCCGTGGGCTGTTGTGGATCAAAACTGCCTCGAAAGAGTCCAGAGGAGAGCCACGAAGATGGTTAGGGGTCAAAGCTCCTTTCCTTATGCGACCCGCCTAGTAAATCTGA